CAAAGCATTCAGCCAGTCACCTGCTCTGTATGGTACTGATGGCAGCGATGGGATGGTAGAGGATCGGAGGTCTTTGGTGGAAAGGACATCTCTTGTAAATGCTTCAGTGTGTTACTAGGCCAGGCTGCGACGACAGCGCTAGCCTTGCAGTACTCCTGCCCAGCTCAAGCGGGGGGACTTGGGAGTGCTTACAGGTGCTGGGATGGGAGGCCCACATGAGCAACTTATATTATATCATACTTTCCCGCATCTCCTGCGTCCGCACTGGCAGTCGCCCCAATTTGCTAGCACAGCACATGCCCAAGTCGGCGCCCCGATCGTAATATCCGCCGATCTGGCGTGTGAGTTTCTGAGAGCGTGGACTTGAGCTCGCTCAAGCTTCGCTCTGCAAGGGGGGGAGGGGGGACGCCATCCCCGACGCCGTTCCCGACGCATTTAGTGCTCGGGGGCGGGGGGCCCACATCATTAAGAGGGAGGGGGGGGGGGGGACGCCATTCCCGACGCCATTTAGTGCTCGGGGGCGGGGGGGGCCCACACCATTCCCGACGCCGTTCCGACGCTCTGACCATGGAGGGGGAGGGGACCGACGCCATTCTAAACGCCATTCCCGACGCATGTCGTGCTCGCAAGACGCCTCTAAGACGCCCCAACAGGTATCCAATCACCTGCGAAGAGACCCACGAGGTCAAAATCGTCCAATTCCAGTGGGAAAGCGTACATTCTTACCTTCTACGACATTTCGGCCTTCACGACGTTGCCGACGGTCCCAGAGGCCCCCGAGGCCGCGTCAAGACAGCTCGAGAGGCTCCCAAGACGACCCCAAAACGGCCCAAGACGGCGCCAAGACGGCCCAAGAAGCGCCCAAGCCGGCCCACGAGGGCCCCAAGACGGCCCCAGGAGAGGCCCAAGAGGGGGAGCCCGAACCAATCCCAGCCTTTCCCCTCACGAGGTTCTCAAGAGGCTCCAAGAAGCCCCCACAAGGCCCCAACAGGCCCCCAAGAAGCCCCCAGCAGGCCCCAGAAGGCTCCCAAAAAGCCCGAAAGAGGCCCCAAGAGGCCCCAAAACGACCCCCAACGCTTCCCCGGGTCCCTTGCTCAATCCCCTGAGCCTCAGTCCTCAAGCCTGAGAATTCCTAATGGGCCCGGACCCCAAGCTCTCAAATCTCTTGGGGCTCCCCGCGCGCCCTCTGGGGCCCCCAGAATGTTCCCGCATGAGTTTTTCGAGCCCAAGAGAGGCCCAAGACAGGCCAACAGGGCCCCAAGACGGCCCAAGAAAGCCCCGAATCACCGAACGATCGGTCCAAGACGCCCAAGATGGCCCCAAGACGGCCCAAGAAGCTTTCGAGTCGCCCCAAGAGCCCCACGAGCATCCCAAGAGGGCCCCGAGAGGCAAAAATCATTCATTTCCTCTGAATTGTTCAATGTGTGTGTGTGTGGGGGGGGGGGGTTCTCTCCTTTCAAACTTCCGACGTTCCATGCTCTCACTTTTACGTCATCCCGTCCGCACCCCTCGTCGACGCAGGGCAGAAGCCTCTCGGAGGCCTCCATAGCTTCTCGGACGCCTCTCGGAAACATCTCTGGAACTTATCGGACACCTGAATCGTGTCCCCACAGAAATCCGCAAACGTGAACTCGAGGCACGAGTTGGGGTGTCCCCAGGTCCCTTGCTCCATCCCCCCAGGTCCCTTGCTCCATCCCTTACTCCATCCTCCTCCTCCTCCTCCTCCTCCTCCTCCTCCTCCTCCTCCTCCTCCTCCTCCTCCTCCTCCTCCTCCTCCTCCTCCCTCCTCCTCCTCCTCCTCCTCCTCCTCCTCCTCCTCTCCTCCTCCTTCCTCCTCCTCCTCCTCCTCCACCCCTCCCCCCTTCCTCCTCCTCCTCCTCCTCCTCCTCCTCCTCCTCCTCCTCCTCCTCTCCTCCTCCTCCTCCTCTCCTCCCCTCCTCCTCCTCCTCCTCCTCCTCCTCCTCCTCCTCCTCCTCCGCCTCCTCCGCCTCCGCCTCCTCCTCCGCCTCCGCCTCCGCCTCCGCCTCCGCCTTCGCCTCCTCCTCCTCTCCTCCTCCTCCTCCTCCTCTCCTCCTCCTCCTCCTCCTCCTCCCCTCCTCCTCCTCTTCCTCCTCCTCCTCCTCCTCCTCCTCCTCCTCCTCCTCCTCCTCCTCTCCTCCTCCTCCTCCTCCTCCCTCCCATACTCCTTCCTGTCGACTCCCTCCCTCCCCCCTCATCCCTCCCTCCCTCCCCTCCTCCCTCCTCCTTCTCCCTCCTCCCTCCTCCGTCCTCCCCCCTACCTCTTGCATCCTTCTTCTTCGTCCCTCCTCCCTCCTCCTCCCTCCTCCATCCTCTTCCTGCCTCCTCACAAAAGCCAAAAACAGCCCCAGGGCGGCCCCGAATAATTCCACAAGATGTGCAGACGGAAGACGCAGCGTATGATGGCCTACCTCTTCCTCTTCATCAGCTTCATCATAACCGTCGTCATCAACATCCCCACCACCATCATCATCATCATCATCATCATCATCATCATCATCATCATCATCATCATCATCATCATCATCATCATCATCATCATCATCATCCATCATCATCATCATCATCATCATCATCATCATCATCATCATCATCATCATCATCACATCATCATCATCATCATCATCAGCTCATGCAGCAGCATCATCATAGCCGCAGCATCAGCATCAGCAACAACAACAACATCATCATCATCATCATCATCATCACATCATCATCATCATCATCATCATCAGCATCACAGCATCAGCACAGCATCATCATAATCATCACCACCACCACCACCATCATCATCATCAGCAGAATCATCATCATCATCATCATCGCATCATCATCATCAGCATCAATCCATCAGTCATCATCATCATCATCATCATCATCATCATCAATCATCATCATCATCATCATCATCAGCATCATCATCATCATCATCATCATCATCATCATCATCATCATCATCATCATCATCATCATCATCATCATCATCATCATCATCATCATCATCATCATCATCATCATCATCATAAGCATCAGCAACATCACCATCACCATTGCCGTCCTCACCAACTGCACCACCCTTAGCATCCTGATAATTCACCTCATCAACATCAACACCACCGTCATCATTATCGGCATCATTGTGGGCACACCGCTATCATCATCACATCCACCATCACCATCACCAGCATCACAATCCTGATTATCGTCGTCATCATCACCATCTCCATGCTCTTCACAATGGCCATTACCATGATAAACAGCATATGTATCATCATCATCATCATAATCATTATCAGCTGCATCATCCTCATAATCATCAGCTTCAGCTTCAGCTACATCAGCATCATCATCATCATCATCATCATCATCAGCATCATCATCATCATCATCATCATCATCATCATCATCATCATCATCATCATCATCATCATCATCATCATCACCATCATCATCAGAGAGAGAGAGAGAAAGAGAGAGAGAGAGAGAGCGTGATCCACCGCCGCTTTACTGTGGAAAATTCCCCCCCTCTTCCTCCGGAACCCGGGGGTCCCCCCCCCCCTCCGAAAATCCCCCCCCCTGCTGGGAAACCCCCCGCCTCCCCTAAACCCCTCCCCCCCCCCTCCCCCTCGAAAACCGGGGGGGTCACTACCGGTTCGAACCCCCCCCCCTCGAAAACCGAGGGGGGTCACTACCGGTTCGAAACCTCCCCACCCCCCCCCACTCACCGCCAGCAAACGACTCCCGTCCCTACCACCGTCCGCACCACATCCCCCACTGTTGTTCCCAGCACCACTGTCCTCACCACCACTGTCCCCACTGGTTCCACCACCGTCCCTACTGTCCCCACCAGTGCCCCCACCACTGTCGCACTGTCCCCACTGTCCCCACCACTGTTCCCACCACGGTTCCACTCTCCCCACTTTCTCCACGGCCCCAACCACTGCCCGACTTTCCCCACTGTCCCCACTGTCCCACTGACTCCTCCGCTGTCCCACTGAGCTGTCCCACTGTTCCCGCCACTGTCCCAACTCCCCACCACTGTCCCAACTGTACCTCTGTCCCATTGTCCTACCGCCGTCCTGGCCACCGCCTTCACCACTGTCCCCACCACCACTGTACCCTCCACTGTCCCACTCTTTCCACCACATTCCCACTGTCCCCACACCACTGTCCCCACCACCACCGTCCCCACCACTGTCCACTGTCCCCACTGTTCCCACCATTGTCCTCACCACTGTCCCCACCACCACCGTCCCCACCACTGTCCCACTGTCCCCACAACTGTCCCGCTGTCCCCTCACCACTGTCCCCACCACCACCGTCCCCACCACTGTCCGCACCCCCCCTCGGTTTTCGAGGGGGGGGGGGGGTTCGAACCGGTAAAAAAAAACCCTTTTGGTGATGGACTGAAGGGGGGGGGGAGGGGCTCGAACCGGTAGTGACCCCCCCCCGTTTTCTGGAGGGGGGGGGAGGGGTTCGAACCGGTAGTGACCCCCCCGGTTTTCCGCCAGCAGCGGTAGAACACGCTCATCTTCATCATCATCATCATCATCATCATCATCATCATCATCATCACCACATCACCATCACCATCACCATCATCACCATCACCATCACCATCACCATCATCATCATCATCATCATCATCATCATCATCATCATCATCATCATCATCATCATCATCATCATCATCATCAACATCAACATCAACATCAACATCAATATCACCATCACCATCATCATCAGCAACATCAGCATGATCTGGAGCGCCCCAGATCGGCGGCGCTGGCCGGAGGCCAGCACAATACATGTGTCTACCGAGGAGCGCAACGAGCCTGGCCCTGATGTCCGCCCAACATAAGAGGAGGGGGGAGGAAGAGGAGGAGGAGAGGCCACACCGAAATCCACCTCAGAAGCAGCCCTGCTGCACTCGCGCGAGCGAGGCCCGGCCGACGGCAGGGGCCCGCCGCCGCCGCGGGTGCCTCGCCCAGGCGCGCGCCCAGCAGGAGGCCGACCACGGGCACGAGCGCCCTCCTGACCGCGAAATGCGCGGCGGC